CATGTAATGTATCCATCGTTTCTACAAAAATCTGTATGATGACTCTCAAATATAGTTAAAAACTGTTGTTTAAGAATTTAAGAAGACCTTCTAATTCTGACAAATTTGTAGTTGGGTACTTCGACACTACTATTACATATTTTGAATGATTGTTTAGTTTAGTTAAGAGAACAGAGACCCTAACTCGAGTTAAATCAACAAGTGATAAATTCAAACTTACGTTTGCCATAGAAATATCTACTCCTGCACGGACACTGTAAACATTTCACAACACTTTCACTATTTGTAGTTGTGATTGCTTGTTCTAAGCTTCTAATTAATAATCCTTATTAACGGGAGCCTCATTATTAAGATTTCGCTAATGTTTACATTCATATACGTTGTAGGTTAGAAATAGGAAACTGTTGTTTAAGAATTTAAGAAGACCTTCTAATTCTGACAAATTTGTAGTTGGGTACTTCGACACTACTATTACATATTTTGAATGATTGTTTAATTTAGTTTAGAGAACAGAGACCCTAACTCAAGTTAAATCAACAAGTGATAAATTCAAACTTACGTTTGCCATAGAAATATCTACTTCTGCACGGACACTAAACACTTCACAACACTCACTATTTGTAGTTGCAATTGCTTGTTCTAAGCTTCTAATTAATCCTTATTAACGGGAGCCTCATTATTAAGATTTCGATAATGTTTACATTCATATACGTTGTAGGTTAGAAATCGGAGGTGATGCAATCGGACATACGCTGTATATCAATCGGTTGGAAAAGCGGAGCTTTATGCCATATTGTAAAATTATAACATGAATAGGGGCTTACAATCATATTTTATCGTATTTATAAACCGATGATGATTTCAATAAACTGATGAACGTCAAAGAATAATTGCAGCCTTTGGCGGTAGACATCGCAATCTGTAAACATAAAAAAACTACTAGATTCATCCGATTTTAATGGCTCTAGTCCGGTCCGTTTAGACAATGGAATATAAAAATTTTGAATCTTTTCGAAAATGTTGATTTTCACGCGTAAAAAAGGACAAATCTATTTGGCGTGATCCAATATTGGATGAAGCGATAGTCATGAAGCCGAAAATGGCACGTTTTTGACGTTCCGCTCGCACTCGCTCGCTTTCGTAATACGATCGTATCTACAATACCCCGCCTAACAGGAATCCGGGATCTGGAGGGGAAATTCAAAATTGAAACTTCAAACTAAAAATGTGTGCATATCTTTGAATTTTCTAATCTGCCGAGTTTTAAAAAATGCGATCGGGTAACGTGTCGTATGTCGGTTTAATCAGGAGACTTGGTCTTTCGTTTTGCGAAAAAAAATCGTAGCTACGTCGCTCCGTAACGCAGGTCCGTATCGACGAAGACAAAGTACGCCCGAAAAAACGGTTGTCATCGGTACTTTTGAGGCGCTCAAAGTTTACTTTTTCGAAATTTGACGGTAATTCTGACGGTCAGAATCGTTTCGTCAGCTCATTATCGTTATTTTTCGATAGCTGTATAATTTTTTACTCGCTCACGTACGGTAGTAATAAGCGAGGACAGAGCCGGATGACAAGATGACTTTTTCACGCGTCGAAAGTAGCGTATTGTCGAGGAATTTTTAAAAAATCGAAACTTTTCAACGTAAACGAATAATAATGATGAAAATAGTATTAAAAGAGTGTCCGAAGCATGGACTTTCTCACGCAAAAATCGTCAGGTTCGTAGCTCCTTTATCTTCGGAGGAGATAGCTGATATACGGCGAAGCAGCGCGCTTTATACGCAAAAAAGTCATTCTTGACGACGTTCGAGGTTCGTTTATTCGAAACGGGTACCGTAAACGAAAAAACGTCTCTCCGCGTAATTTGTAGCGCTCGCCGAGATGTACGAAACGCGACGCGAAATTCCTTTTCTCGTCGGCATAAGGGAGATATCGTAGTTTTCAAGGCGATTCGTCATTTTTGTCGCTTTTTTTTCGAACGTTTCTAGAAAAAAAACCGAGACGCGGAACCGAACAGATTTAGCTATTGGCACGTATTTTTCGTTTAGCTATCGAACGAGACCGATCTCGAGTCGATATTTCGATAAACGGCGAAACCAGTGTGAAATAACGCCGCGTACCGTCCGAAAAACGGTCGATTTTTCGACTTTACCGGCCGTTTTCGATCCGATCCGTTCCTCTCGCCGCGACGGCTCTCGCCCGCCCGTAAAGCGCCGAGTTTCTACTTTCCGAAACGGTACCTTTCCTTCCGAACGTCGCGAACCTCCTAAAAAACCGCGAAAAACCGCGTCGACGTCGCCGCCCGACTCTAACGTCACGTGACCTTCCTTAAAACAATCGATCACCGCTTAATATAGTCGACTAGCGCAGTTTCTGGCATGCTAACGCTATGCCAAATATTGTACGTTGATGTCTTTATTTAAAACCTCACGTAGCGCAGTTGCTGGTATGCTAATGCAATGCTAGCGATAACTATCTCTAATCATTTTTTATCCTTTGGCATCTTTGATCTGGTATCTGGAATCTGGTATCTGGTGTCTGGTATCTGGTATCTGGTATTTGGTATCTGTTATCTCTTTATCTGGTATCTGGTTTCTGGTGTCTGGTATCTGGTGTCTGGTATCTGGTGTCTGGTATCTGGTATTTGGTATTGTTATCTTATCTGGTATCTGGTTTCTGGTGTCTGGTATCTGGTGTCTGGTATCTGGTGGCTGGTATCTGGTATCTGGTATCTCGTATCTGGTGTTGGTCTGGTATCTGGTGTCTGGTGTCTGGTATCTGGTATCTGGTATCTCGTATCTGGTATCTGGTTCTGGTGTCTGGTATCTGATGTCTGGTATCTGGTATCTGGTGTCTGGTATCTGGTATCTGGTATCTGGTGTCTGGTGTCTGGTATCTGGTATCTGGTATCTCGTATCTGGTATCTGGTTTCTGGTGTCTGGTATCTGGTGTCTGGTATCTGGTATTTGGTATCTGTTATCTCTTATCTGGTATCTGGTTTCTGGTGTCTGGTATCTGGTGTCTGGTATCTGGTGTCTGGTGTCTGGTATCTGGTATCTCGTATCTGGTATCTGGTATCTGGTATCAGGTCTGATGTTGGTATCTGGTATCTGGTGTCTGGTATCTGTGTCTGGTATCTGGTGTCTGGTATCTGGTCTGGTATCTGGTGGTCTGGCATCTGGTGTCTGGATCTGGTGTCTGGTATCTGGTGTCTGGTATCTGGTGGCTGGTATCTGGTATCTGGTATCTCGTATCTGGTGTTTGGTATCTGGTATCTGGTGTCTGGTGTCTGGTATCTGGTATCTGGTATCTCGTATCTCGTT